TGCTTTAGTACGATGACGGAACTGAACATATCACTATTTTTTTCGAAAAATACAATCAATTAACTTCACAACAGTACCAAAATCATTGTAATTCACATAGTAATATACGTACAATCGAGATTTAGAAAAAAAGATTTTTCATATGTTTTACTAGTAAATTTCAAGGAGTGTCAAATACTTTTGGCAGGGGGGTGTACATCACCTTCTCATTATTAGTTATGTGCATTTTGGATATGGAAAACATGTGACTTGTCATAGAAGCAACTGATGTAACTACTTATACTATCAACAACATTGTAATTGCTAATCCCATACTAATACTGGGGACATTTCCCATGACTAATGGTAACTTTTTTCACTAAACCTCGTCTTTTTTTTTATTCTCAAGTTTACCGACACACTAGATCAGACTTTTTGAAATGGAAAGTTTTTCGTACATGTGTAACTTACCCAATTTGAGTCCAAATCGCCCGTCCTTAAAAATGCAAATTGTAGCGTGTTTTTGATTTGAGTTCGTTTGCTCCGTTTTCTTTAATTGAAAGTTAAAATGTCACCATCATCTAAAAAAACACAACGTCAAACACTATTACATTTATGGAACGAAGGGATACGTGATGCTTCTGAATTACACTCCCGTACTCATATACCATTGAGTACAATATATTATAATATAAACAAGCTTGAGAAAAATGGGAGTGTCGACCATAAACGGGGCAAGAAAGATTACTGCCAATGTGTTCTTCCACCCTTTGGTCCTATGTGGATTGGGCCTGCATCGAAATAAAGCAGCGGCAATACAGGTACTTTAGAGCGAAGAAATGTCACAAATACAAAAGGTTCTTCAAGAATAATCTGACTTGGTCCCTAGGTTCCTACAGTATAGAAATGGAGCTGAAGATTTTACGTACGATAAAAGACAAGATCATAAAATGTACAAGAAAGCTTTGGACGTGTTATTATTATCTAAAGATCATAGTTACGCTCAACAAGCTCAGGCTTGTCTTTCTTGGTTTGAAGTAAGTATATGTTATTTCTAATTAAGATCGGTGGTTGGTTCAAGGACTAGAATACGCTCCGGTCTGACGTATCTGGTGTTGACAAACCCCGAGTAGCTAACTACTCACGCCCTGGTTAGTCGAGAGTGAAGTTACGTCCTTCCCTCGGGCGTTCTTGAATAGACTACTTACTATAGTCAAAGCTTTGACTGTATATGTAACTGCCATAACGCAACCAGATGCATACGTCCCAACTGGTTGTCAGCCTACATCCCGTGTTATGGTCAACCCATCAATCGTTTTTTGGGTTATATGGTAGTTTCAAAAAATGTTATTTAATCTTATACTAACGTCCGTTTTCTTCTTAACAAAAATGATGAGAAGTCTTCTCCAAATGTCAATTTCTGGAACGAGATCAAGAAAAAAAGCCACGAAGACAAGATCAAGAAAGAATCGGTTTGTAGATTTTGTCTTGCGGTTGTTTATATACATAGAGAACTTACTTGTTTGTAAAATAGTTAGGATACTAATACATTAGCAACGTAATAGATAATTCCATTGGGGACTCAAAAAATGCAAAAACGTTTTTATCCGATAAATTAAAGTCATACTGATATTATGTCTTTGTTAAATCATTTGTTTTAATATGTCACAGGCTGTCAGCGGTTTTCTTCGCGAGGCGGCTGCGCTCCCTCACCGTGACAATAGAGTCGATGCTTAGTGATGAGGCCACCGACTTAGCCAACTTTATTATACTACTTAAGTATATCTTTAGAATTTTGTCTC